GCCAAGGAGGGACACTCATTGCACGATAGCCTTTAGCTTTTGGAGTACTCCATGAAGCCGACGTTATTCGTCAAGTTGAGGTTTAATCCTTTAGGGTCAGTGTGTCGTGACCTTCAATATCCCTGTACAACATTATGGTCAATTGAAGGGTCGTTTGATCCTACAACCATCCCCAGCGGATGCAGTTCCTCTATGTGTGGTTATGTCTCGGGAAGCTGATCGCCTCAAGTACTCTAACAAAGAGTTGAATAAAAAAGTGCAGGAGATGGAGGTCCAACTAGAGGTCCTCAAAGTTGATCGGTGGGGTCTACACATGATGCTGGCTTTGAAGCTGTCTACTCTCAGCGCCTCAGCATCCACCTCTGCTGGGGAGTCAGCAGTAGTAGTCGGAGCGAAGCGGAGGCTACTAGATGACTCTGGTGGTACACCGATGACGCAGTCCTCTACGAAGAAAGCTAAAGACGAATGAATTGATGGTGTGTACTTTGTGTGTTACTTTGCTCATGCAAATAGACTATCCATAACTTGCGTTGGACAGTCGGGGGGGGGGAGTGCTGCAGAGGGCTGTTCATATCTCAGCTATTATCATCCTTTAATGGAACTTGGAGTTCAATGCCTCTGGATGGCAACAACCAAGTCATACTATCAGAGAAGTATGGCCATCAATCATATTTCTCTGAGGAGCACATCCCTAGTGATTATGAGATGAACATCGAGCTAATATCGTCAACCTGTTTACAGCATATAGACAACAGGATGAGATGAAGAAGTGATCCGCATGCACACGATGTCATACTCTTACCATCACATGTCGTTTCTTGTTGTTGTTGTTCATAGTATAATAAGTATCGAGATATTTCGATAATGTCAACTACGCTGAGCTCAGTCGTGGTTCTCTCGGAGGGCCCAGTGGTCGTGGCTTGCTTTCATGGGAGTAGTGATATCCGTGTTGCTGCTAGCGTGGCAGCGGAGGAGTTCTCGAAGGACTTCACAATGGACGATATCCTACAACTTCGTGAGGCTATTGGTGAGCAGCATAATGAGAGTTAAGTGATATTCAGAGATGTTCGATAGGCATTACTGGGGTGGAAGATGATGTAGAAAATCGGCTGAAGGCCGCAATGAAGTTTGCTAACGAGTTGTTGTTCCCTGCTTTGGCTGATGTTCAACGATGCTCTGTTCACGTCGTCAATGAAGATGGTACAGTACTTCCTGTTCACTAGGGAAACATTTGGGCTTTTAGATTGTCGCATTGCAGTTGTTGAAGTGCGATACGCTATTGCTGGCCTTGGGTTTATGAAAGATCGACTGAAGCTCGATAGAGTCGTTCGCCAAGGGGAAGTGATCGCAGCAATCGCCGCTGAGACTGCTAGGTTACAGAATGACGTGCGGCAGCAGATGAAGAGAGAGGAAGCATCTCGGACTTCTGAGTACACCCATCTTCGGTATGATTAACACCTTCTGGAATGTTGATTGTTCAGACCATATGATAGGGCTAATCCATCTACACCAGTGCGAACACCGATGAGTAAGAGGTCTCCGTCATCGACTTACAATAAGAAGCGGCATAGTATGAGTGTTGTGAATCCGAATAGGAGATTGATGAACTCTCGGAAACGAATCAAGGGTCTGGACTTTGATGACGATAATGATGATAGTGACAAGCCTAAATCTCCATCGTACAATATACCATCGTTGAGTCGTAAATTAGAGGACAGTCCGCATTTCAACGTTCACGGCTATGAGCATTCCACCAAAGATCTCCCAGAAGAATCGACGGTAACAGTTTTCTATAGGCATTCTGGTGAACAACGCAGAGGACATGGCTCGTAGGCACATGATATGCCATCCCGTACCATCGAGGATGATGGATGGGAATTGTTAAAAGCTCGCTGGTGTCAATCTCGCTCGCCCAAGTGATAGATTATAGCTACAATGTTCGAGATACCGACCGTTGCCATCAGTCGCTGAAGGGTCCGCCATGGTTACCGTTCCTAAGACTCGCAAAACCTATTGCAAGCGCTGCAAGAAGCATACCGGTCAAAAGGTAATACGGAGATTCGTGGGCGTATACACTCGTTGTCCTGTCGTTATTCGTGTGGTCTGTGCTTATCGTAGTATGTTTAGGTTACCCAGTACAAGACCGGTAAGGCTTCCTTGGTCGCCCAGGGTAAGAGGCGTTACGATAGTAAGCAGGCCGGTTTCGGAGGTCAGACCAAGCCTGTCTTCCGTAAGAAGGCTAAGACTACTAAGAAGATCGTCCTTAAGTTGGAGTGCACCAAGTGCAAGTGCAAGCGTATGATGCCCATCAAGCGTTGCAAGCATTTCGAGCTCGGCGATAGCTCTAAGAAGAAGGTAATGACATGTTTAAACTATGGTTATAGTATGAATGATGTCTCTTTAGGCCGAGGCCGCCTTGTACGGTAAGAAGCGATAAATGTCTAGGCAGCTTGCTATTGACTGGTCCGCTTCAGTGATGTTTAATGATAGTCTTGTGTTACTTGTTATTGAAGGATAGCATTCTACCTTAGCTATTTCGATGGCTGACCTCTCTGAAAGGTCTTAAGTTTGGGGGTAGTAGTAATAGCTCGAGGGATGATGATGACAAGAAGAAGACTGAGAACAAGCTCGGGGTGCCCAATTCATCTAAGGCTTCTTGTATCTGCTATGTGCAATATCGGTGCTGCAATTGCGAAGTATTCGGATGGTTGCGATCAATGATCGCCGATCATGGTTCTGTTGAACATTGAAAGGATTCGCTTATAAATTTCGATCGTGTAATGCATCTTGTCGGATACCCAACGAACGTTATAGTTGCCGAGCTAATGCAACAACCATGATTAGCATTTTAGGTCTACTGAGGAAGGAATGAAGACAGGGTGGTATGACTCCATCAATTTGATGATATATCTAGGCAATACATTTTCTGGAGAGTATACTTTGCATTCGAAAAAGTAGAAGAGGAATGTGTAACAGGCAAGGAAAGATACAATCTGCCCTCATGGGTTACATCCAGATTACGCCTGTCTGCCGTTATTTATTCGAATTATCCTCACGGCTCGTCAATCGTTGGTCGCAACCTTTGCAAATTCAGTAGTTGTCCTCAACCTTTAATCACAACTATTTATTATGGTATAACCAACAATAACACAAACCACTATTTGAAGTGATGAAAGCAGTAGTCGACAATAGTAATTCGTAGGTTTATTCCTCGTCTGCAGTATCATCAGGCTGGAGTGTAAGGTCCAAAGGTTCACCCATAATCCTATTCCACGTATTGAGAACCTACTTAAGAGTGAGGGGGATAACAGTAATAGTTGCCCTTACATCCTGAGTAGCCGATTCAAAGTGGCTTGTAGCATCGTATGACTTCGACACGAATAGTTGATCAACCTTGCCATCGTCAGTAGGCTCATAACTAGATATCGAATCGTCAACTTAATCTCATACCACTCCTTTTCTACTTCTCAGAAATGGTAACAAACTTGTTCTCAATTTTACCGAGGAGCTGCAGGGCCGGCATGATTTCTCTTTCAGGATCATTGGTCTCGACGGTCGTAGACACCAGTGCAACATATCTTAGGATTGAATGAAATACATTTTGAAGTGATACAGGCCGTATATTACTTTCCTTTGAAGGCTATGTTGTGAGCCCAGGAAACCATCATGACGTAGACATCGGACCTGACACCCGGTGTTCTCGAGATTTAAGGTATTGATGATGATGTTGGTGATGACTACCGTCGATTGAGCTGTTTCTGTGGTATGATAATCTGACAGGATGTGGCATCATTCGTATTGGGTATAGTGTGGCCGAGGATCTGAGATGAAACACTGTCTTTCTACCCAAACCCTATCCCACCGAACCTACACAGATGCATCTGATGGTACGACCAGTAGACCTAACCTTCTGTGGTAGGGTATCCTTAACGTAGGAAGGATCACATATGACAAGAGGAGCATGGGCAACCTACATTGACGACGATATGCCCACCTACTCGGGGAGCCGATACTACTACTACTATTACCTCTCCTTCTGACTTAACTCCACATACTTTACCATCTGCATCGAACTCGAAGCCGTCTGAGATTACCATCAGATTACCACCATATCATTAGTCCGTCCCAATAGCACTCACCAACAGGCTTATTGAGCATATAGGTTCCACCATGAATTGCACTTAGACGACTGAAGCCTTCGGGTATACCACCTGAAGTTGAACATGAGTAACAGGAGTAATATCAAACCCTATTATTATTACCAAGACCATAGATGGGGTAAATGAATGGACTCTGTCCATATCTTGTGATGGAGTCCAAGTATCTATCAACGTGACGACATGTCATCATCCACAGACTACCAGTGTTATTGTACAGTTTCATCTTTTGAATGGTAGGCCCGCATGGTTTAAAGAGATAACTATCATCAGGGTAGAGAGCAACAGCATGACCAAAGAAGTCGATAGTGTCAGGCTGCAGGCCGTACTTCTCATAAACCTACAAGACGCAGCAACAGTCCTATGTGCTTCTTCACTATGTGTCTAACCTGCATCATAGTATGCCTATTGCCATCAATACCATCATGTG